AAGTGAGATATACAGGCTCAAAGTGGACGTTCCGGGTGTCGTTCTATTAGAGGTTTTACGGTAAGTCACATTAATTTAGGATATTATCTAGTTTTATTATATTCAAAAGTATTTAGGATATTATCCAGTTTTATTATATTCAAAAGAAAACATTCGAAAAAATACATCACAGGTAAAACGGAGATTGCTGAAAACCGTACTGAAGATTCAGAATTACCGTAAAACCTGAGATAATAGGCCCCCCCCCCCCCCCCCTACACGTTTGAGCTCAATTATCTCAGCTGCCATAAGAGACATCACAAATAAGTCAACTGAAAAAATGTTTGTGATATTATGGTAAACAATTTATCAGTTGAAAACTTTTTCGTGTCTTTTACAGGAACGGAAAAAAAGGCTCAAAGTGTAAAGTTAAGGGGCCCTTCTATTACAGATTTTAAGATATTGAAATTTTATTTAACCTGGTATTTTCATTATGGTTCGATTTTCGGCAACCTGTGATACTTTGCACTTCGGTGAATTAAATGAATAAAATTACCTATGAATTAAAATTAAACATACCATTGACTAGAGGTGTTCTACAAGTGGTTATTAAACGAGTTGTGATATTATAAGCAAACTGCAAAAGGGGAAGTAATTATTATCAGAAAATCAAAGAAAACTATGTCGAAAAATATGATTCATCAGCGATTTGAGACGCAGAGAAAATTGATAGTAAACAAGAATTAGGAAAAAATAAAGATCGAAATGTGTTTATTTGTTTTCAATTGATATATGTATTTTCCTAAACTTGGCTGTTTTCTCTTCTTCTTGATCTTCCTGATCCTTTGCTTCGATTCGATCCTGTCCGATGTAATGGTCCCATTGATTTTGATCTTTTCTGACTGGAAGCCTCACTAGATTGTCGTCGACTTGTCACTGATGGTTGCCTCGATCCGAATCGATTTTCCATTATAGAGTTTGTATCTAAAAATCCGGATTGATATCTTCCAACGCTGGTGGCTCGAAGTGTATTGTAGGGGCTGGCTACGAAGATGTTGTTTGGAGAACGTCGATGAAGAGAAAGGGTGGAGCATCCAGGGATTCTGCAATTGAAACTTGAGGAATGAAAAAAATTTTTACAACTTACACAGGAGGATAAAGTTTCTTTTCATCATGAGGCTTGACTACATTGGTCATTGCATGCCTGTTTTCCAGTACGGGATATGCAGGTGGAGGAAGTGGTTGGTAAGGATCCTTTTCGAATATCGGAGGTAGTGGCTGAAAAATACACTTCTTAGGATAGTTTTTAATTTAATTCTGATTCAATTTTAGATTATTACTTTCTTCACTATTTCGACCTCATCTTCGTTTTTTCTAACCACCGTATTTTCTCTAGTAGAAGCCCGCCGAAGCGGTAAACTTTGCGGACAATTATCTCGATTTCTGAAAAATATATCAAAATTTTTTCAACTGATAAATTTTTGGTGATATTATGATAAATAATTTATCAGTTTAAAGATTTTTGATACCTACCCCAGGAATCGAGATAATTGATCTCAAAATTGATGGTTTGGGTGGGCTATTAGAGGAAGTACGATATGCGCTTTTTATTGCAAAGTTGGGTGACCGATAACTCTACGATGTATTGATAAAAACAATGAAACTTTGTCAAATTTAAATCAATATGTCTCAATCCATTGAAAATATACAAAAGTTAATTGAAAAACTAAATTCAGAAATTGGTACGCCTTCTAATTCGAATAGCACCAGATGGCTGAACATAATTATTTTGAACAGCTCAAAAACTGTTTAGCAGGTACTTTTATTTAATTTTTTGTAGTTTTCGAATTGACTAGGTTTTAATTTATTAAAATACAAATCTTGATTTTATTTTTCATGAATGAAGAAAAAAATTGTTCATCATTAAATGGAGTGCCAATTGGTATGCCAAAAATGAACATTTGTATTTTCTGAGATTTTGGTTTAAAAAGACATAAATCTAAATGAAGACATAAATACTTTTGAAACGTTTCGATTACAACACATAATCTTCAAATCGAAAAAAGAACGTACCGCATAATGTGTAGTAATAGTCGTTAATCTCGCCGGATCATTATGCTTCTTCGTGTGATGCAAAGAGAGATCGCATAGCTTTGTTGTACACAAAAAGTATATTAAAGAAACGAACAAGAATATACAACCCAATCCAAACAGAATAGGTCCAGCGATTTGAATAGGAGGTGGTCGAATACGTTGTTCATAAGGCCAAGTCCAAAATGGGGAAGTGTAGAGATATTTGAAACCAAGAAGAGACATCAAAAGGCCACCAATCAAGAGGAAAACTCCGAAAGCTGTGCAACAAATGAGGGAAGAAGATCCACGGAATTTTCTGAATTGAATTGTGAACCTAGATGTTCTAGAGACTAGACTAACGATGTTCTGTAAGGGAAGAAACCAAATGTTGCTGGGTACAAAATATCCCATCCTTTAGGATAATAGTAAAAGTATGGATCTCTCTGAGCCATTGGCCCAAAGTGAAGAACTCTTTGATTTCCGGTCCATTGCAGAGGATCGATCTCACTGGCTCCGGCTTGTACCATTTCGTCCTTTTTATCCTTCACAGTTGCGTGCAATTTGTCTACAGAACATCCGATATCTGACATCCAAGAAAATCAATAACTCACTTTGAGCTCTCCGCTTCCGCTTCTGATGAGGTCGTTCAGCTTTTGAGCCGAAGAATAGATGTGTGCGGACGCGCTCTTGATTAGACGAAGCCGCACCGCGCCCTCTTTTACTTCCCATCTGAAACCAATCAGGTCCGGAAGAAAAGCGACTTTTCGGCACGACTCGATTGGACCTCGATTACAACTCTTTGAGCTGGCCGCAGTATCAAACAGCCCTTCTCTTCTCTCAATCTATTTTTCTAAATAGTTTGGACCACTCAGAGAGAGTGGTGTCAACAGATGTTTTCACACATTTCCGCATCCTCATCATCAGTCATGGTTCAATGAGTGCTCTTTTATCAATCAAATACTTACCATCTTTACTACTAGAATACAAAGGGACTACTAGAAATGATATCAGATGTATGGAGCCGGAATAAAAGCTGGCTCGTCTGCTGTCGTTGCAGTTCTTCACAGCTGGTGGCGGATAGAGACTCACGCTTGTCGCGGAGTGCTGTGAGAACAAAACGGCCTAGTACCCAAGTCATTATTTTGAAATTGAGATGCTGCTGTCAACGATTATTACAAACGGGACCTTCCCAAAGCTCACGGAGTCGCGAGCGGGGATCCCTGCTTGCATGTGCGCCCCGATGACAACGGAGCGGCGCGCAACGCGTGCAAAATTTCTTTGCGTCTCTTCAGTGAGGCAGTCCGCCCGTTGCGTTTGTCCCAATTGCAGTCGTTTTTCAGATTTCTTTTCATCCAAAAAAGGATATTTTTGTCGAAAATTACACTTTGGTGCCAAATTTATACTTCTTTGATGTGCTGAGTGGAAGTCCGGCCTTCTCTCATTTTTATTAATTTTTGTTTTTAAATGGTGTTCTGTTTATTCGCTAAAAATAAATTTTATAGGTATTAACTGGGCAATGGCATCTCTTGCTAGATCCGGAGGATTCGCAGTCAAAGTGGTGAGGTTTTTGATTTTAAAAAAATCTAAATTGAAAAAAAGCTATGTCTTGCAACTTAAATTCTAAAAAAATTACCGACTTTCAAAAGAGATCTTTCTCAAAATATTCACGCATGGTTTGTAACTAGTGTTTAACATATTTTTGCAGATCAGCGGATCCCAGCCACACGTTAACTTCGTTGCGGCTTCTCCAGCTGCTGAAACTGTAAGTTCAATTTATATATGCCTCCTTTTAGTTGAAATCTATCATTCAAGGTTTCTGCCTTCCGCGAGGTTCCAGCTGAGTTCGCTACTGCAGAGACACGGCAAGCTGCTGTCAGTCGTAGCACGGGAGGAGTTTTCACTAATGGACTCGCCGTGAAGGGGATCAATGGTATCTGTGTTACTTTCTATTCAAAAATGTCTGAAACTTCCTAGTTTCAGTCACTTCTCGCCGTCTGGCTCACACTGACGTGAGCTTCCCAAACATGGAGAGCTATCGTCGCGACTCCACGAAAAACACTCAAACCCCAGCTCGTGACACGGAAGATCAACGTCGTGCTCTTCCAACTGCTCTCTATTATGGAGGTGAGTATTTTTAGGTCTGAATAAGTCTAACATTATTTTTAGCTGGTGGAGTTCTCTCTTTGTGGGCCGGAAAGGAAGTTGTTCAAACCCTCGTCTCTTACAAGGTATGTGCTCAATATATCCACTAAATATACGTTTGTTTTTCACTATTTCCGTTTTTCAGGCTATGGCTGCTGATCAACGTGCTTTGGCTTCGATCGAAATCAACATGAACGACATTCCAGAAGGACAAACCAAAACTTTCGAATGGCGTGGAAAGCCAGTATTCGTCAAGCATCGTACCAAGGCTGAGATCGCAAAGGAGAAGGCTGTTCCAGTCGCTGATCTCCGTCACCCACAACATGACGATGAGCGTGTTCAGAAAGATGAATGGTCTGTTGTTATTGGAGTGTGCACTCATCTTGGATGTGTCCCAATCGGTAGGTCATGATTTTGGGCAAAAAAATGCTAAATTGTTTTTTTTCAGCTAACGCTGGAGATTTCGGAGGATACTATTGCCCATGCCACGGTTCTCACTACGATGCTTCTGGACGTATTAGAAAGGTATATATTTCATGAATATTTAAAAAAAGATAGTTTCGTAAATGACGAAAAACCATCCTTGCTCTGCGAGTCGTATGACAAAGTGTTCGATCAAAATTAGGAAGTATTCTAGCATCGGGTTGGGTGCGGTCTAATTTTAGAAAGAGCATAGTCATTTGACGGTGAACAGCTATGGCCTCTGATACGAATAATATCAAAGTCCTAAAAACAATGTCAAGTTTTTACACATCCTTTTGATTTCTAGGGACCAGCTCCATTGAATCTTCACGTTCCGGCATACTCCTTCAAGGATACCACTATCGTCATCGGATCGAGCTAAATAATATTTTTTTTGAAATATCCCATCCCCAGTCTGAAAACTCGCCTCCCAATCGAATGTGCGTTTTCCTGTGAAAGTAGTTGTTCCTTCTTTCTACGTCGTATTCCTGGCAGATAAAGTTTCGTTTATTTAGTTATCCTTTTCACTTTTTTCTTACTGTCACCTTTTTTTTTTACTTTTACCTATTTTCTAGGATTCTAATGCACTCCTGTTCGAAACTTGTTGTTCATTACAGAATGAATAAACGGTAATTTAAGAACAGACCTCGGGGTCTATGAAGGCGGGGCAAAAATGAGAATAAACAACTCTCTTGGCAAACATACACTCTGGCATCCTCTGCGTCTCATCACACTCTCAAAAGTCAGTGTCCTCGAAAAACGGCACTTGATCCATAGGTGGGGACGGTAACATGTTTTCTTCTCTGCGTCTCTCTTCCCAATACTCTCTCATACTACTATTATAAGTTTTCGTTATCAAAACGAGAACTGACCGAGTCAGTCGTGTCTCGTTTCTCTTCTCCTCTTGTAACCCCCATTTGTTGTTATTTTTATATTGTTCCATACCTTGATAATCGATTGATTACAGGTATTTTCAAAATGCCTTCTATCCCTGCTCAGTTAAACCTGGCAGCTTTCAAGTTTCCACTTGGGTTCATCAGAGTCATCGAATTTGTGAGAAAATATTTTGAAATTATTGATTGATCTGTATATAAACAATTTATCAGGTTTTCATCATAATAGCAATCGCAGCTGTAAACAGTTGGGGGATGACAATGGAATACAACTGTAAAGGCCAGGCTAATAAGACGGTGACTTCTTCACAAGATGTCTACACCTTTTCGTAGGTTTTTCAGACGACTATTCTGTTAGTACAAACAAATCGGAGCCGAAGGTCCCACAACGAAAACTACCGTATTCTAAAAGTTGTTTATTTTCTGTGTTTTCAATTCGATTTTCGTTCAGTTTTTATACTATCAAAAATCAAAAAATTAGATTTTCCTACTTTTTGGTGAAAAATAACAAAAAATTCAACAAATATAAGTAAAAAACGAGAAAAAAATTCCGGAATTTTGAGAATACTTTCAGGTTACTGTAGTTGTCGCTGTAGGACCTTCAGCCACGGCCACTGGCTCGGATTTCCTTGTACCAAAATAATAGATACAGCATTTTGACACGACTAAATACAGTAATCCTTTTTTCAGGCTATCCAATGTTAAACTGACTGGATGCGACAATCAGACGCACACTTTCTGGAGAGGAGATGACAGTGCTGGTGGCAGTGCAGGATTCTTCTACTTTGTCAACGTCACCGCTCTGATTTATGTCATTTTCATCTGCTTCGTCTATGTCATTTTTTGGGGAATCTATCAAACGGAAAAGCGTATTCCACTCATTGATCTTGGTGCCACTGCTCTCTTCTTTATTCTTTTCTTCTTCTGTAGCTCGATTTGGTGGGCAGGTGCCAACACAATCGGAAGTGCTACATCAGATGAACATTTGAAGGAGTTGTTCCAACAAGAATCTTGGAAATCACAGAACGCAGCTTTTTCGAATAGAGAAGTCAACAATGGAAAGCTTGCGATTTCAGTGGTAAGTGTTCTTAATAGAAAACATTTATCAGTGAAACTTCAGCTGGCCAACTGGGTGTGCGTCCTTTGCTTCGCCTTCAACTCTTGGTTCATCTGGAAAGAAGTGGTGCCACGTGATTCCTCCAATCCAACCGATATTGCCTAAACAATCTCTCTGATGATTACTCATGCCTATTGTCTCTACTTTTTTTTCTTGTTCCATTCTTTCTATTGTGCCTAACTCATTGACTCACTTGTTTTAATTGGAAAACCAAATGCAAATTAATAAACCAAAACAAAAAAAAACCAGAAAACAAGATTAGTATAATGGGAATTCGTCGTTGATTTTGAGTGCCCATTCTTCGTATCCGCCAATAATGTCCCGGAAATGAATAGAACCCAATTTCTCTTTTAACAACTTCACTGCTCTCTGCGAATCGTTTCCTCGATGGCAGATGACATAAACATCAGAAGTTTGGGAGTCTACGCCAAGACGAGAAGACAGCTCTTCTGCTTGTAAAGATCTGCATTCGTTGAGTGTGATATCTGTGATGACGTATTCATATTGAAATTTGTCAATAAAAGAAAACAAAAGAAACGTACTGATTGCTTCCGGCAGGTGTGCAATCTCAAATTCGACTGGTGGCCGTGTATCCAACAGAAACTGTTTTCGAGCAGCACTCCTAATTTCTTGATATTCATGTACATTCACTCGAACACTGGGTTCTAGAAGTTTCAGATTCTCAATTTTGTCATGAGCTCCAGCACCACAAAACAGCATATAATCAATCGGCGCTGTTATTGAAGGCTCATCTCCACAGACTGCACATTTTGGATCACGCTTCCTCAACCGAATTGTTCTCGATTTTCCTTCTCTTCCATCGAAAAGCAATAGTTTACCGGCAAGAGTAGCTGAAAAATAGAAGCTAAGGAGCTTATTTCGAACCAGGGATATTCGGAATGGGGTTTTCCAAATTTTTCGGAAAATTATTTCAAAAGTTCGGATCTCTGGAATCCCAGTTTCTTTTCTGCAGAAGCAGCAAATTTCGCGAAAAAAAATTAATAGTAATTCTGTTCAAAACCCGCCAGGGAACTTTTTGCTTGCGTCTTTAACGTATGGTAATCCAAACAGCTCAAATTCTGAAAAATTACTCCGCACGCTCTCCCACAGAACAATTTCTGCAAATTAATTTTTGATCTACGGAAAAAAAGTTTGGCGCGATCACAATTGCAGGTCTAAAACCATAATTTCAGAATTTTTTTTCTGATTTTGCGGAGTTCCAAGATGATTCAAATAATTCTTAAAAAATTAATTAGTGATTATAGATTCATGTATGGTCGTTTTCCGGAAGAAAACATGTCAAAAATGGTCATTTTTGAAAGTTTTTTACAGAAAAAAATCTATCTCCTCTTTCAGTTTTTGACAATTCTAGGAGTTCTATAGCTCAAAAAAACCGCAATTATTTTCTCTACATTTTCGATAGATGAATTTTTAATTTGTCTGATAAAACTTTTTTTATAATTCAAAAACCTCATGAAATTGCACAAAATAGCATTTCTGAGTTGTTTTTTGATTATAAAAAAAGTTTTGTCAGACGAATTAAAAATTCGTCCATAGAAAATGTAGAAAAAATAATTGCGGTTTTTTTTGAAATATAGAACTTCTAGAAATGTCAAAAACTGAAAGAGGAGAAATATTTTTTCTGTAAAAAACTTTCAAAAATGACCATTTTTGACATGTTTTCTTCCGGAAAACGACCATACATGAATCTATAACCACTAATTAATTTTTTAAAAATCATTTGAATCATCTTGGGACTCCACAAAATCAGATAAAAAATTCTGAAATTATGGTTTTAGACCTGCAATTGTGATCGCGCCAAACTTTTTTTCTGTAGATCAAAAATTAATTTGCAGTTCGGAAATGTTCTGTGGGAGAGCGTGCTCCGGTCGTAATTTATCTACGAATTTTTTATTTTTTACGGAATTCCGTTCCGAACATTCCTGCCAAATATCAAATTTATAGTGAAAATATCCCACTCGAGAGTTTCGCGGCGATTTTCATAACTTCCAACGCCTGCATACTTCCGATTGTACCAACAATCGGACCAAGAACTCCTCCTTCATTGCAATTTGTAACAGAACTTGGATCCGGTGGAGATGGGAAAAGACATCGGTAACAGGGACAATCTGGGCCATAATGGTATACCGAGAGTTGTCCGTCCCATCGGAGAGCGCTTCCACTGACGAGAGGAATATTCAGAAGAACGCATACATCGTTGATCAAATATCTAGTGGCCACATTGTCCGTACAATCACAGACAATATCGTAATTTTTGAAGATTTCCATAGCATTTGAGCTATCCAGTGAGACATTATGGACTACAGTAGTCACACCACTGTTTTGCCTGAAACCGATAAACAGCTTTGGTATTTATCTTTTTTTTTTCTTATTACAATTTAACATTATCTGCTAATCCTTGCGATTTAGATTGCCCAACCTGATCTTCTTTGTATGCGACTTGTCTGTGAAGATTGTCCAGAGAAATCTAAAAACTACAGTACTACAGTAACCAAGAAGAGCCATTCTTACACGATCATAATCCACGATTCCGAGAGTTCCAACACCAGCAGCTCCTAAATAAGTTGCCACTGGGCAACCAAGTCCTCCAGCTCCGACAATGAGTACTGCTGTGTTTTTCAAGTTTTTCTGGCCTGAAATCTTTCATTCGCAGTTTTAGCTATATTTTTTCTCACCAGATACCCCAAAATCGTCTACCAGAAGTTGCCTGCTGTATCTTCCAGCATCACTTTTGCTTATTCCGGCAACCCAATCTTTACTTTCCATTGTTTGAAAAGAATGCGCCTAAAAATTAGAAATTTTCGCTTTTTTTTAACCGGAGCAAACACGCCCCGCTGCTAAATCGCCGCAGCCCTTCATTTTTCTGATTTTTTAACAGATTTTCTTCATTTTTTCAGTCGATAAATAGAAAAGAGGCTGATAGAATAGTTAGTTTAATTGAAAATTATCTAAACCTTATTTGTCACATTGATGTTATTATTCTTCTCCTTTCGCTGAGCAGCCATCAACTCTTATTGATTTTTGTTAAACTTCCTATCGTTTTTCAACGCATTACCCGCAAAATAAACTGAAATTTCAGATGCTGCCTCAATTGAGCCGTCTCCAAGTACGGACCTTGGGTTTTAGACGATTCGCCTCATCTCATTCACACTCAGATGCCAAAGTCGAACAAAAGCCAGACGACTACAGGTATTTAGCACTTCTAACAATTTAAATATAGCAAAAAACGACTTTGAGAAACAGTTGTATTGTGAATATATTATTTCAGACCGGGAACTGATTCGTACGCTTATGAAAACCCGTGGCCAAAGTTGAATGGTGGTCGTTTGGACTGGTTGTTCGGAGACGGATGGAGAAGACCGCTTGCTAAGGATCAAGGAGCAAAAATGGTTTGTTTTTCTCAAATATTAGTGAATCTTGAACAGTTATTTTTAGAGAAGAGAGTGGATCTGGTTCTCACAAGTGGCACATGATGAACACAAAGATTGGGCTCGCTTCCATCAAGCTGCATTCCTTCTTTTCACCGTTCTCACCACCTGGTTCACTTGCTGGATCATGTTCGCTCGTCCAGACTGGTACAGAATCATTTCGAATTTTCTGAATATCTAAAATTAATTTTCAGGCCGATGGGCAGAGAATGGGCTCTTAGAGAGGCTCATTTGGAGATTGCTAGACGAGAGAAGGCCGGACTTCCACTCATCAGTCCTGATCTTATCCCAAGGTTTACTATATTTTTATTTAAGCTGTCTAATTTTTTTGTTCTTCCAGAGATCGTGTTGCTGCAACTCTCCCATCCGACGAGGAACTTCGCGATTTCGATGTGCTCATCTAAAAAAATACTGCCCTTTTTCTATTTTAAAATTTTTGTGTGTATTTTTATTTTTCCTCTTCTTTTTTGGTTAGTCTAGTGATTGGCAGTTGTCCGTTTCGATTTTATTGTTTTTCAAAGATTAAATAGAACAATGCGAACTGTTTTTACTGAGATATCACCGACATCATGATATAAGCAAAGAAAACGGGAAAATTTTAAAAATTGATTCCTAGAGCCATGGTTTTCTCGATTGACTGGATGGACGACTGTTGACATTTTTCGACTTTTCTGCCCTCTCATCACGAGTCACAGATTTGAGACGAGAAGCTGAAGTACTCCGCCAGAGGCGACCTCCGAACACACTGTTCTTCTTTTGTTCATAGATTTCTTTTAGCTTCACGAAATCGAGTGAAGGGCCCACTAGACATGGATACTGTTCTTTGAATTGGGCAACATCTGAATTTCAAAAAATGTAATTAGAATAGGAGGAAAAACAAATAACTCACTTCCTTTCAACAACACAGTTTTGAATCCTCGCTGAAAAAGAACTTTGGCAACTCGATCAGCTTCTCTTCCATATATGACTAACAAATGACCTTCTGCTTTTGCTTGTGCCAGAACTGGAGTTTCGTAAATTAGACGAGCTAGCATTATTCTATCGTAGTGATATGCATTGGCTATATGACCCTTGAGATATACGTCATGATCGTTAACATCAACAATACAGAAGCTCTCTGGACACCCATTTGTCTGTTCTGCTTGAGCGATAAGCCATCCCACCTGAATCGAAGAAAATAACCTTTTGATGTTTTTTAGAAACGGGAATACCGTAAACCCTGTATTAGAAGGGCCGGCCTTTTTATTGTTCCAAGGTACCTCCGTAAGGCCACAGGGCCCTTCAATTAGAGAGACTCTTCTATTTTCCCGGCTATTTTTTCCAAAATTCATTTCGAAAGATTCGGAATCTTTGTTCAAAATTCATGAAAATTCATCAATTTCACCAAATATTGAGCATTTTTTTGAACAAAAAAAGTTTTTCAACAATTTTCTGGGAATTCGCTTGATTTTCCGGAACATTTTTCATTGAAAACGGTCGGGAACTTTTTAATTGAAAACAATACATTTTGAATGAGACCCTTTCATTTTTCCGAGCTCCCCTCGGAGGGCCGTTCTATTAGAGGGGCTCCTCCTAATACAGGTTTTACGGTATCCTACGCCGGTATGCAAAAATCGCGGAGCGGTAAAAGAGAAAATGTGGTGAACGCGGCCGAGCTACCGTAACTAGCAGGAAAGAATTTCTCGATTTTCGCCCGTTTTCCGCCAATTTTTAAGATTTTGAAAAATTTTATCTTCCGACTATTTTGGGGGTTTTTAACACAAAAACTGTCGGAAAGCAATAGTGATCAAGAAAAAAAAAGAACCGAAAACTTTTAAATATGGCCCGCTCACAAGCCTTCTTCTTCTGCAGCTCCTTTTTTTGCACCAGAATAATACTTACTAATTTATCAATGTCTATGGCAGAATAGGGATCAGCGGCTAAAAGCATTGAATAGTTAGATAATTGGGAATAGAATTCGCCTCTAGAGGGGCTAAATACTGCAGAAGAGTAGGAGACGACAGAAATACTTTAGTAAGAAGCCAGGTACTGAAGACGAGGGCTCACAGAGCAATTCATAGAAGGCAGGACGGGGGAAAATATATGTATTGCGCGCGGAATGAATACGCGTATGTACTTGAGATGGCTGCATTTGAATAACTTGGTTGTCAAGGAAACCGAATTGAGACGACGATGACATATTCGAGAGAAAAACAAGGAGAATGATAACGGATTAGAGATATAAGACAAAAAATATATAAGATCAGAGTGAGAGTGAGAAAGATGCTAATATTCAGAAGTTAAAAACAATCAACGAAGATACATTTTTTGTAAGGAAAACAAGATATTATTTGGTCCTAGGGTAGGATTATTTAGACAATTTGAAATTGGATGATTGAATTTACACTCCCCCAAAGTCCAAATTCACCAAATTGGAAGTTCGGGAAATCAGAATTTCAAAATGTATAAAAATATTGAAAATCAAAACGTTCAAAGTTCGGAAATTAAAAAAGAAATGTAAAAATCTGAAAACTCGGAATTTCAGAAGCTCGGAAAATTGAAAATTCGGAAGTTTGATAAGTCTAACTTTTAGACATTCGGAAATTCAGAAATCTGGAAAATTTAATATTCTAAAATTCAAAAGCTAAGAAACTTCAGAAATCGGGAAATTCAGAAATTTTCAGAATCATGGAAAATCTCAAATGTCAGAAAATTAGTTTTTGAGAAACTCCAATTTAACAAAGTACGTTCAACGTTTTACCCAGGCCCTTTAGAAGCTCGAAAATTTAGAAACTTAAAATCCAGAAAACTTGAATTTAGAAACACAGAATCTTGAAGATTTAGGAATTCGAAAATCGTCAGCTTGATGAAGAATTTTTTAGAAATTTGGAAGTTAAGACAACCAAGAAATCAAGGATTCAGAAACAAAGAAACTCAAATAATCTAAATTTAGGGATTCGTAAACTCCAATTTCAGAATTGAAATGTCCATAGAGTCCTTAGATATGTAACTAAATTTTGATATTTTTAAATATTAAAAAATTCAAAACTTGGAAATTGATAAATTGAGAAAATCTGAAAATCCTAAAACTATCCGGATATTCAAACTTTATAATTTCCCGAATTTCTAAACTCTAAACAGTTCCTGTAATTCTAAATTCGAGAACTTCCCGAATTTCAAAATTTATTGAGTTTTTGAACTTTCAAAAAATCCAAAATCCAGAGACTTTAAATTCAAAGATTCGAAATTCGGAAAACGAAAATTCTAAAACTTTTATAAAATTAAAATTTGAAGTGCGGTCAATCCAGACATTCCAGAATACTTCAAAATCAATGTAAATTTTGTAGATCAGAATCTCAGAAATTTTGATTTCGGGAAATCCAGAAATCCAGAAATTAAGTTCTGATATTTAAAATTTCGAATTTGGCACATGAATTTAGATGATTGAAGTTGAATCAATACATATTCATGAGATCTTGTTTGTTAGGAAAATAGGAACATAGAAATTTTAAAAAACTCGAATTTAGAAATTCAGAAATTTAGAAATCTGCAAGTTTGTAAAACAGCACATTCAAAAACTCAGTAGTTCAGATTTTCCGAATTTAGGAGTTCCTAAATTCCAAATTGAAAATTCAAAGATTTTCAGATTCCTTGATTCTGTAACTCTCGAATTCTGAAATTTCAGATTCATAAGTTTGAAAATTAATAAATTCAACATTTGTTGAGTTTTTGAGTGCTCAAAATCCGAAACTCAGATATATCGTCTTCACAGTTCAAAAATTCGGAAAAAATATTCAAAAAATCTCTTTTTCTTAAAATTTGCAGTTCGGACGATCTAGACATTAAAAAAATTTCGAAACCAAAAAAAAACACAAATTCAGTTCAGAATTTTTTTCCGTAAGAAAGATTTCCATAAAAGGTCGCAGGAAACTTTTTTCACGCTATCCACACCTACTATCCACGTGGACGTGTGTATCTGAGAACACAATGAACTCAGCCATCAACACTTTGAAGCATCGCCATGTTTCTGTGAGTTCTCCTTTTTAATCCAACGATTTTTTTCTGTTTCAGAGCCCATTTGCTTTTGGGACTTTCAATTTTTCTGTCTGCAAACTGTGACCTAGTCTCGATAACTTCTGTCAATCACGATGATATCATGCAGAATAGCCGTCTGGCATTTGTAGCTTTCACTGCATCATGGTGTCCGTATTCTCAGGAACTGTTGGGTTCATTCACCCAAGCAGCTGCCAAATACAAGGAAAAGTATCCGGACCGAAAGACGGTATGGGGAAATGTGGACTGCGTTTCTGAAATGAAACTTGGAGATGATTATAATATTGTAAAATATCCAACAATGAAAGTTTTCTTCTATGGACATCCGATGGTTGAACATCGAGGATCTCGTCAAGTGAATGGATTGATCGAGTTTGTTGAAAAAATGGAGAATACCGCGCATTTTGTGGATCTTAATGAGGCAGAGAGTCTGACTCAATGGCAGCAATTCGTTCGACCTAAAAAGCCAACTCTGATCGTTTGGTTCCCACAAGGATCACCTCCATACGAAATGATCCTCAAGGCAATTGCTGTCATTTACGAACGAACGATAGTGGTCGGACCAGTCGTTTCCAATCTTTTGGAACATGAAGAACACAAGTTATGGTTTTCTTTGGACGGAGAACATGTTGAACACTATAATGGATCTGTGACAAATTTCAAGGAAATTCTGGAGTGGATCAAGCAAAAAGTGGTTGATATGGTGAGAGAGTTGACATTCGAAATTATGGAAGAAGTTGCTGAACAAGAGAAACCAATGCTGGTTTTGTTCCGAAAGAAGGGGGACCAGGAAACGGAGAGAAAGTTTATCGAAGCTGTAAGTTTCTTTTTTTTTTTCTTTTTTTCTAAAATTGTTTATGATTTCAGGTTGATCGTGATCTGGAAAAATCAGTTCGTAGGAAATTGAATATATTTTTGGCAGATGGAGAAATCCTGAGAAATGTGGTGATCAGGTTCAACAGAAACCCAGATGATCTTCCATTCCTTGTTGTTGACCAACTCGTTCATGCTTATCCAGCCGCTTGGACCGGTGACGAAATTTTCGCCCCGGGGAATATTAAACAAGTATCAATTAGTCTTAATTTTAGAATAACAGTAAACTTCAATTTCAGTTTGTTTCCGACTTGTTCAACGAAAATCATCACAAGAAACTTCACGAAAAAGTGAATGAACTTCTCCAGAAAATTTTGACCGAAACCGAGCGGTTAGAAAGAGAAGCAGAGGAAGAAAAGGATGATTCCAAGGAGACACCGTCGACTCTTGATAAACAAGAAAGCGTTTTCAAACAACTGAAACCCTCCAAGACTCGATACTCTTTTGCGAAGGAGGAATTGTAGAGATTACTTTTTTGTGATAAAATAAAGATTGATTTAAATGAGAAACTTTCTGTCAATCAAAAGGTGAAATTCCGTTTTTAGATGTTTAGGGCTTGGGGAGATAGACCACTGAAACCTAGATTCTCAAATAATTTATATTCTTGCAACGTTCAAGTTTAGAATCTTCTTCCCAGAATAGATGTAAAATAAAAATCTTCATTTTTACATCAGTAAATATTTGACTTCCGAAAGCGATCCCATTCACAATCAAATATGTCTTTAGTATACTACACACATTTTAGAAAAAGAAAAAGACAAGAAATAAGCATTCTCGAAAACAGAAAAGAAGGAAAATATCATCCATTAAATTAATTAACCATCCAAATAAATTAGAAACACTCGATCGTAACAAGAAGTAACGATAATAGAAAACTACCGGCACATTTAGGGCCCCATTTTTGACCTCAGTTCTGTGACTGTGGAGGAGGTGATGGGTATGCTCCGTATTGTGGGAATGGAGGTGGTTGGAAAGAGGTGAATCCAGTAGAAGTAGGCGGAGCAGGTGGAGCAGCCAACTGCGTAATTCCAATCGAACTCAAAGAAGGCATAGGGAAGTTGAGAGGTGCCGGTGGTGGGATTGCTGGAAAATTTTGGGTTGCTACAAAAAACATGAGATCGAACTTACGGTTCACATAGGAAGTTGGAGGAGATGGTGCAGCATTGGCTGAGAACATCGGTGGCACAGCTGATGGGATCTCTGGAGCTTTGTAATCATATGTGTTCTGCTGAGGTGGAAAGGATTGTGGGGCATAGTATGGAGCTGGAATGAGCTAGCTATGATTATCCCAGCTGCTTTTGATGATTATACCTTGGTAACCGGAAGCATTCGGTGCAGTTGAAGCAGATGGAGGATAGTATGGGGATGATGCTGGTGACTGATACGCTTGATATGAGGTTAGTGGATTGACTGGTGGTTGATACGTTTGCTGTTGAGATGGTTGTGGTGGTACTTGTTGGGGTGGTTGCTGCTGTTGATAGTAATCCGTCGCCGGTTTTGCTTGTTCCACGTATTGTTGTGGATAGGACGTCACTGGAGTTGGAGCGGAAACTGGAACTGGAGCTGCCGCTGGGGATGGGGAATGTTCCTGTGAGTGTCCATGTCCATTATCATGGGAATGCCCATGGTTTCCTGACTCATGAGAGTGCCCGTGTCCTCCTGATTCATGAGAATGCCCATGTCCGCCATCGTCGTGAGAATGTCCGTGACCTCCATCTGAGTGCGAATGTCCATGATTGTTCAATTCGGTGTGTGGTGGCTGCTGATCTACTGGTGATTGAGCATACGATGTTGGTGGTTGTGGCAAAAATACTGGTTGTGGAGGAGGCGGGAGGTTTTGGATCAGAGTCGCCGGCGCCGGCGCAGGTGGAAGTGGAACAGATGACGAAAATTGCGATGGATCGGGGAAATTAGTGGCAGCAGGTGGCTTCGTAACGATCTATAAAAACAATTTTTTAGAGATTTTTTTTGGAAAATAAGAAATTCAAACCTTATCTACTAGCGGATTTCCAACAGGAACTCTTGCTTGTTGTGGAACTTGAGGCAAATTTTTGGACCGATCAACGGATACTGGAATGCGATGAAGATAACCGTATCCAATGTCGCAACCGAGACATCCTTCGCCTCCCCATGCAGAATTAGGCGTGAGAGATACCTGAAGAGGGATATTGGTTGGATCGTCATAGTGTTAGTAGTCTCACCTCCCTAACCACATCAGTGTCTACATTATAAACATACAACTTTAGTGGTTTGCCTTCATTCGCTTGGACAAGAGCGATTAAATCGTCAGCTTGATGAAGAACACTCTCTGCGCCCAGGATGTAGTCAGTGTCAGCGATCAAACCAGCAAGAGAAGCTGGAGAGTTTGGCTGCACAGAAATTATATGCCAAACATGTTGACTAGCCCCATCGAAAGAGCAGAAACGGATAGAAACTCCAAGAAGACCCTGACCACCCCAGTTTTGAGATGGGATGATGCTTGTTTGGCGCACTGATTGGGATTTACTGCAAAACATATTAACTTTTTCTGGATGGATTCAAAGCAATAGAACCTGTTGTAGACTGTAATCTCCAATGGTCGATCAATATGCTGTTTCAGAACTTCCTTCATAGTATCATTGTCTTTATCCAGCCTGATATTTCCAATAGACACAATAAAATCAAAGAATGGTTCCAGACCAGCCACCGCTCCTGGAGAATTTTCTTGAACCTGAATCAAAAGTTTGCTATTTTTCAAATAATGTTTTACCACAAAAACTTACTCTCAAAACATGATATCCTTCTGTTCCACCGCCAGGTATCGGCACACTTTCACTGCTTCCCATTTTGAGGTTTCCTGAAAAACTGAGACATTATAAATAGTTTCTTCGTAAGAATAATTGTTTAGAAGTCGTATAAGATCGTTTAGAAATCACTGGAAAGGAAACATTTTCTTTATTTCAGAAAAACGATACAGTTGAAAAAGATAATATTGAGAAAAACGGGGTCAAAACCTCAAAATTAACGGATTTATATATGTTAGAAGCCCGTTAAATGTATTTAGCCACGTGTAGGCGTGCACCTCGATGTATTGTACGCAAAAATCCCCACGGAAAATTGCGTACCAGCAATGGAAAAAGAAAACGGCCACCGATTCACAAATTTTGTTTATCCTGTTCCGGATTTTTTTACTTTTTATAAATTTCTAAGAGGTAAAAAATTTGAGTAAATCTATATCTGTTAAGATTTTTTGTTTTCAAAAAAGCTGTGCCCCATATGAGTAGACTGGTCGATCTTGTTTTACAAGATGCAACGCTGCTAAAGCCAGCTATAGTCGTTTGAAATCAGTGGGAAGATTGCGTCAATGTTTTCTAATTCATCCACTTTTTAATATGTAATTAAGCTTATTTAATATCCCATTTCCTGCATAAGTTTCAGGTACTGAACTTCTAAGTACGCAAACACGGAAGATAGTAGTGCGGACCGCTTCTCAGAATTTAATTTGCGGGAGGTTCAAATTTTCAAAGTTTTATACTTATGTACCACATTACGACAATCTAGAAATTAATACGTTGAATTGGTTTCTGATTCACACTGTTGTAAAAAAAATATTGATAAAACGTATTCGACATAGTACATGGTTACTGGCGTGTTCCATTGAGTATTTTGAGCAAAGGCTCTTAACATCCGAGCTGTAATCTCCATTTTATCCTTTCTTCCTACTTGGAACCTACTTTTCCAATGTATCTGACCAAATTCTACAATTGATCCTAACGCACTCAATTTCTGGACGACTGCAGTATCCTTTTTTCCAATTCCACGAAAATTCAACTACAGTATCCCTTAAAAGTTTCCGATCTTTGAAACGGAATAGATAACTGATGATGCATTTCTATAAAATCTCAACTGAATCAATTCAGGCTTTTTGTTACATCTTTCATTTCTGTACATCCGTTTGCTCTGTTTATCATTAATCTTTTTTCCAAAATCGATAGATTGAGCGAATGGAAAAGAGGGGGCAGCTGCAGCGCCGCCTCACCCAGTACGGCCGCTTACGATGTCGGCGTCTCACGAATTTCCCTGTTGTTTCCTCTCTCACTCATACACCCTCCTCTCAGCAGCCGTGTTTCTTCGGCCGTCCTCCCGCCGAACAGCGAGTCTCTAGATGTCGTTTCTTCCACCGTTTTCTCTTTTTCTCTTTTCAGAAATTCTATTGATCGAACAGAAAGAAAATATTATTACGATTTTGTTTTCAGCAACTGGGAAAAATGATCCGGAGGAAGAAGTCGTCAACTGGAAGATCTGGACGCAAAAGAAGAGGAGGTATGAATGGGAGCTTAGGTTAAGATACAGTAACTTCATTTGTTTCAGAGTCAACTTCACCAGCTCGTGAGCCTGATGAGGTCGACGCTCCTCCAGAGTTTTCTGAATATGATTACGAGAAGATGAGCCCATATATTCTGAAAGCTCTCAAAGGAACAGTATATCCATTTATGTCGAACGGATATGTAAGTATTCGTAGTTTTAATTTGTGATTTCATCAAGTATCATTCACAGATTCATCTTATACACGAACTTGAAAAGATGCTCGCAACGAATCATTTCACTTTGGAATATATGGCCGGAGAAATACAGTTTATGAGTGAAGGGTATTATCCAACACCGAACTTAAATAATCGCAAGATGCCGGAATACGATACCAAAGAACAGGGAAATCATACTTCTGATGATGAAGGAACGGAAGTTGCATCTGTTAGAACCGCTGCTGTTGCAAACGACGAAGAAATGGCCAAGGAAGCCGAGTAAGTACATTGAATATAATTGTGTCAAACTGATAATCCTTCAGAATCTGCTTGCTGCCAGAAGAAGGCGAGGATGACGACTTTGATGAGTATCCAGCATACCACGTGGGAACTCGCTTCTGGACCTGGTGCCGAAAAAGCTTCATGGGGAAAATCGACACCGAATTTCTGGAGAATTTCAAGGAACACATTTTGGATGCGTACAGTGATGAAGAACTTCAGAAGTTTCTGGTCAATGAGCCATGGAAATATCGGAAAAGAGCAGTACACACATCTCGAAGAAAATCATTGAACACTTCAAATAACAAGAAGAAGGTTTCCATTTCGAATGAGGTTACATCTCCATCAACATCTAATGGAGTGAAGAACGGAGCTCGTAAAGGGTAAGTTTTAAAAAAATTTAAACGAGATCAACTTATTACAATTTCAGCTCTCTCGCTGGCTACCGTATTCCAAATCGTAGAAATTCTGAACGGGACAAGGAAGCAAATAACAATAAGATCATGCCAATAATTGATTCAATGGTTTACACGGCTTGCAAAGAATACAAAGATGGAAGATCTGTTCCGGAGACACCAACGATACGACGTGGAAGGTCTCGCTTGACAAGTCCAGAAGTCGTTAGAGAGAGGAAGGGTACGTTGAGCCATATCTTCAAAGCTTGAAAGTTTCAAATAACAGAGATTGAAAATAATAATAGTCTTAAAAAATTATTTGCAGTAGCTAAAATGGAGATCGATTCGGATTCCGACGCTGAAGTTGATACGTACAATGACAAGAACCAACCAGGTCCTTCATCACGAAGTAAGATCAATTGATAACTGAATCTAATAGTACTGAACCATATTATTTTTCAGTGCTATCACCGAGACAACTGAAGAAAGAGAAAATTGAAGATGACGATGAGTACGAGAGAATGGGGAATGGAAACAGTTCCACTAATGGAATTAATGGGACAAATGGTCATACCAGGAAGCCACATTCACCGAAACGAAAGAATGGAGATATCAGAAGTTATTTCAATTCGGTTCCAAAAAATGCAATTCCAAGTACCAGCAATTCCCGACCACTGGTGGAAGAAAATGGATTTGGAGATCTTGATATACCTTCGGATATCGAAGATTTTGATGCCAAAGCAATCGGGTCAAAAATCGTAGCAAAGTTGATTGCAGGAGGTATACTTCAAGAATCTAGTGCACAAATATTCGATCAAATGACCCGGGAAGATGAAACAGAAACTTCGAACTCATCGATCAAAGTTGAGATGTGTGAAGAAGGAAAAGAAGATGCTGAAGATCAAGAACTTGGTGAACTAGCTGAAGAACTTCACAATCTCCAACTGAGCTTAAAAGAGGAAATGGTTGCCAAGAAGGCGTTGATGATGCTGACATGGAGACGTGCTAAAGCTCATTTCGCATTCTTCCACACTTTCGATCAGCTCAAACGCGGAGACTATGATGTAAGTTCATCTTTGTTCATTTGATTGAAAAAAAAAATGATTTTCAGCTTTTCAAACTTGGAATCAACATGTATCGAGATTTTCCGAATCGTAAACTTCCTGGAATCTCTGAAACAATGCTTCTCAAAATTGGTCTCAAGAAACGTAATCATCTGGCTAGACTGCACTACGGAAAGATGTATCGACGGCATCCAAAGTTCAGATGGCATCAAGCATATGTTACCGCTTCTAGTCGTCTTCATTAATTAATTAATTTATTTTTTCCCTCGAATGTAAATCTGTTCATGTTCTATATTTTTAAGATCTCTCATTTAATCTCTTTTCTTCTTTTCCATCTGTATTTTAAATCAATCTATTTATAATCATTCTAGGTCGGGTTCCTTCTTCCTATTGGTCTTTTTTCTTTCGCTTACAGATCCCCAGAGCAGGCTCTACGCTCAAAGCGCGCCTAATTACGAGCGCCAACCAGTATCATAGACAGACCTCGTTTTTTCCTTAATTTTTTTCTTATTCTCTGTCTTGAAGTATTCCTAATTTATACCAGTAATCTAACTGAAAGCATCCCACCCCACACATATGTCATATTATCCCAATAAACATGAATTCTCTGTGTTTGATGTACTTCTATGGTTTTGGATCCGTTGTTTTTGGTTTCTGCCATTGTATACGTTTGACGTGGCAGAGCTTTACTCTTATTTACGCTAACAGTCGACAGCGTCGTGCAGTCTGCGTCTAGAATGTATCACTGCTTCTGGGTTGGGGAGACTAGAAAAATAACATTTTTGCATTTAGAAGCATTTTCCCCCCGTCTTTAGTCGATGAGAGATGGATGAAGCAGCGGGTGCAGACAACAGCAATGTTGTTAGGCAGGTGAGATTTTTTATAGTTTTCTGAATAGAAAAAATAATACAAATTGCCAAAAAAATATACAAACTGCTAGAGTTCAGGGCTTCATCTGTCCGTTCTGCATGGAGGATTTTGGAGAATACGAACGACTGATGTTCCACGTTGAAGATGACCATCCAGAAGAGGACACTAGCGATTTGGCTGGATTGTTTGTTTCCAATGTAAAAGGATTCTTTGACAAAGCAAAGCGAGGAATTCAGAAGCTAGACGCCAAAAAGAGCATAGCTGATATAGCAAGTGTTAGTAGATTTTCAGGAGTAAATTGCCGTTATTCAATTCCAGAACGTCGAATCAGAACTGGCAGAAACTACAGAGAAGTTAGCAGAACGAGGAGCTCCTCTACCTCGGATACCTAAACCTCTACCACCCGATGAAATTTCCCCCGGGACAATGCGATCGAAAACGAGAGAGTTCATGGCGACACGAGAGCTGAATATAAATGAAGTAGCTGTTAGAACGAATATGTTGATTATCAGGCTGGATCGATTGATTAATGGTGGCCCAAAGGATAAAGATCCGGTGAAAAGAAAAGGTGAAAACACTCTTAAACGAAAAAAAAAAACAAAAAACCGAAAGCCATATTTCTGTAAAACAACTGTGAAATTCAGAATTCGAACGAGAAATAGTTCCGTGGTTAGATGACGCAGAAGCTCCATGTTGTCCGCTGTGTGCCGCCAGATTCGGTCTCACTCGCCGACGTCATCACTGCAGGCTTTGTGGAAAAGTCTTGTGTCATTCATGTAGCGAATTCCTTTCTTTTGATACAGCTAGTAAGTTTTTATTTTCCAATTTTTTGTTTTTAAATTTCAGTCTATTATACTGGCAGGTCTCACAACTACCGTATCCTAAAATTATTTTTATTTTCCAGATTGTTTTTCTCGTTTTTACTGATTTTGGTAGATTTTTCTGTTATTTTTCCCTCAAACGAAGCAAAAACGATAGTGAAAAATTGTCAAAAACACAAAACTCGAGAAAAACATATTCGAAAAATGAAATTTTTTAGGTTACTGTAGTTATCGTTGTGAGACTTTCGGCGACGACTAAATAAGTCTTTTCTCTACCACAGTTCCGATTTTTCTACTATTTACAATTAGAATAATATCGAATTTTTTCAGGATCCCTTACAAGTTCCTCCAACCCATTGGGAGATACTCATATCGACGTAAACGAGAAGTCACAAGACGAAACAGAATCCTCCAACAACGATGGAAACACCAAACGAAGTACGTTTTTCTCATTCCAACACAAAATGGATAAAATGAAAAAAGCGATGGCTGAAGCGGTGCAAAAAGTTCATTCAGCCGCTGCGGGAGAGGAAATCATAGCTGGAGCATTGAACGAGCAAGAAATGTCAGATCACATGAGAGTTTGTAATCTGTGTCTTCGAGATTTGCATTTGCGGGAGAGTCAAATGGAAAAGAAAGATCCGCCCGCATATGTACAACAGTACGATTTTATGCAAGAATTGATTGAAGAAGTAAAGAATCTTGTTCCAACTTATGTCAGAGTGGTTGTCAGTTTGAAGTGAGGAAACCAGAAATGGAATGGTTAAACTAAGCTTTGGATTTTCAGAAATGGCGAATCTGTATACACGCACCAACACGGAGAGGAGTTACGATCCAAGTGTCTGGAAATTCAAAAGAATATCGAAATCCTCAGTAAAAGAATCGCCGAAGGAGCCGATAATAAACCAAATGCTGCAAAAGAGCAACAATTGAGAAGGAATATTCGTTTATCAGCTATTCAGTCTCTTCAAGGATTGATCGGTCAAATGGAGTCACTTCCAACAGCAGAAGAATGTGCAAATCGGATAGCTAAAAGAAAAGAAAAACGAGTGAAAGATTTTGCGAGGGTGAATCGAACTGTGATGAAGATGTCGAATTCGTTGCCACAACTGATTGCTCATCCTAATCTGAACAGTACTGGAAGTGTCTCTTCGTTAGGAGGAGGTCCACCGTCTGTGGACGATGGATGGACTGCGGAAGATAATGACCTGTAAGTTTTAACTCTTTCTTTTAAAGGTGGGAAACATGAAAAAAATAATGTTCTCGAAATTCCGTTCAAAGATGCCCCTCGAGGAGTTGAACTTGTGAGGGCGAAGATTGAGGGTGCGGCGCCGCTACCGACTGAGCCACGCGGGCAAAGAGAAATCCCACGCCCGATTGCATACATAAAGGCGAGGACGACAGCTGTACGCAGAGTGACATTAAGCGTTGTACACCGTGACGGTAGAATGCATACTCTAGCTACAAAGAAACTACGAAAAATCTCCTGTCCCCCCACCTTTAATGCCTAAAATACAGTCACAAGGGTTTTCGGAAACCCCTTTTCGGAGTCCTTGAAATTTCGAAAATTTCGAGTTTCAAAATTTCGGAATATTCTAATCTTGAAAATTCAAGAGTGTCGGTTTTTTTGAAATTCAGGAATATTCTGATTTAAAAGTTTCGGAATCCCGGAATACTCCAGAATATTCCGATTTTTTTTGAACTTTTGAAATTTTCGGAATTTTCGAAACATTTAGAAAAATTGAGAATATCAGATTTTCGGAATTCCGGAATACTCCAATTTTGAAATTTTCAAATTTCGGAATGTTCCATTTTTGGAAAATTCGAATTTCCTTGCGGAATCCCGGAATATTTCGATTGAAAAATTTCGGAATTCCGGAATTTTGGAATGTTCAAAATCTGAATATTTATGAATTTTGGAATATTCCAATCTTGAAAACTAGTTACTTCGGATTTTTTTGAAATATTCCAATTTTGAAAATTTCAGAGTTTCGGAATATTCCGATTTAAAAACTTTCGGAATTCCAAGATTTCGGAATACTCAGATTTTAAGAATTTCAAAATTTCTAATCCCGTTTCAAACATCCCTTCTCCTAATAACCTACAATTGAGTTCCAGAGTATTTGAACCATCCTCCATCGAAGACGACACGATACAAACCGACCATCCGCTATACGAACAACGCGAACAACTTCGAAAGTTTCTTTATCAAGCATCGTCCACTGGAAAAATGGACGAAATGGATATTCTGGAGAGAAATCTCAAAGAAATCGAAGAAGAGATGATTCGCCTCGGACTACCATGCTAACTCATTTCCAACTCTTCCTAGTTTTAGTTTTACTTTCCTGTGTACTAACAATCAAACTGTGATATAATATTTTGACCCCCTGGAGATTTCTATTTTGCCCATATTTCCATATTTCTGTGATCTTCATTTTATGTTATGACTTTTCTGCAATACATATATTTGTCACTATAAAATGCTTTATCAATAGGTTAGCGAACTTCAAGTTATGCGAAAATGACCCGAGTAAGAAATGAGATCCAAAGGCAGTAGAAAAGAATGAGAAAAAAGTTAATAAAGGCCACCTCTGGACCTTAATATAGAGTTGAGACTTGGTGTTGGTCTGACTGGTATGGCGATTCCATTTTCATCAATGAACACCTCGCTGATTGGTTGACCATAAGTCCAACGGCGTGGAATGACCTGAAATCAGAAATCTGGAATTTGGAATTCGTTGACTTCATTCTTACTGGTCTTCCAGCAATAGAAGCTACTGGTCTGATGAAACTTTTATCGTCAATGTGTATTCTGGATATTGAATCAGCTTCCATTCTCGCCTCATCTGGATATCTGCCTCTATCAGATTGTTGTTGCGTTCTTGCTTCTTTTAGTTTTCGGAATAATCCTTGCATTGTGAGAGAAGAACATTCTGGAAGTTGTTTTAAATTATATTGAAATTATTTCAAAGTTATGTATATTCATAATATTATTGGAAAAAAATTATTGAAAAAACCCAATTCTCCGAAAAACGCCGTAGACAGTGACAATTTTTCCTGAAACGGTGGCGAATAGAGACGAGGATTTGAAATTCCCGCACATTAAGATGCCTAGGCCACGTCGGCGGGACGCCCTTTTTGCATGACGATTTTTCCGAATTTTTCCGCTTTTGGCTACCGTAAAATACTTCAAAAACCACTGTCAGCCACTTTTAGAAGAAGCGTCCCTCCTACGTGGCCTAGGTTTCTCANTGNNNNGNAAANNNAAAACTCTTTTAATACCCATCCACTTTTTTTTCAAAATTTTCACTTTCAACGGCGTTTTTCGGGGATTTCGGATTTTTTTTTGAATTTTTCTGTAATAATATTAGGAAAATACATGATTTTTCAAACATTTTTTGGATTTTTTTTTTGTGTATAACGAAATTTGTCAGATTCGATTCAGAAAACTAATCAGTCTTGACGGATGGGTTTGATAATTGAAATGAAAGTTGTGGAAAGAGGAAGAAGAAGGTATCTATGTGAAACCGATTCTTCCTAGTGCATTGATTGAAAGCCAAATGTATAAAAGTGATCATTGGATCTGTTATTTTTTTCATTTTTGTTATATTAAAACATAAAAACGAAAGGAAGGAGGTTATTATGAAACAGGTTTCTTGGCTAATCGCACGTAGAGACACTGACATATGATACTATCCGTGATAGTATATCACTAGAACTCAAAGGACAACCAGAGTTTTAGGAAATGTAAAGTATTGAAGCATCATCTGAAGTTCTAAAGTTCTAAACTACCGTATCTCTTCTAATAGAAGCCCACTCACACCGTCAACTTTGAGCTCAGTTATCTCTATTCCTGGGAAAGGTATCAAAAAATTGTCAACTAGTAAATTATTCATCATAACACCACCAATATATTATTAGCTTACGAGATTTTGATATATTTCACAAGAATTGAAATGACAGAGCTCAAATTTGACGGTTGCAGTGGGCTCCTATTAGAGAACATAGAGTAACCTTTTTCTGGAACTGATAGGTTTCGAAAAATTCAAAAATACACAGGTTTTCAATCAAAAAGATAAATAAAGTGTAAATTCAAAAACTGGGACCTTCAAAAAAGCACTTCATCCGCATAGAGAAGCACCATTCTGCATTTTCAGACCACTACCAAACATGTGAAAACGTTTAGATCATAATTCGATCCAAAAACTCTTCTGCGACCTGTCAGCTGTTTATCTAGCTGCTACAGTACCCCTTATCAGTTGTTTTTAGCATAATAAAGATAACTAACCTCTAATTAACACGATAGCAATAAAAACAAAGATGATAGTGAATGATTTCATTGTGAAAGATGTGTCTGCAACTAACCACTTCTTCGTTTTTCTTTTGCTTTTAAACGTCGTCTCGGTTAGAGATTCTTAGACACAGAGAATCGATGACGTCGTTGAAGACCGTTCGGAAGGAAAAATGCCTCGTCTTTTAGCACTTTGATTTCGGGTTCTGTTAGCTGTGACAGTCGTCTTTAAAAGACCAAAAGTTTAGGGGACTGAAATAGATAGTCAGATGGTCGAGAGAATAACAAAAGGGCGTCAGATGACCTTTGAAAGATCAACGACGAATCTTTGGAAGAAAAATCTGAAATCATTAAATGATGAAGAACAAAAAAAAACATGGTTTTTGTGTCAGAAGACGGAAAGTTTTGGATTATGTTCAGGGTGGCGGACCATTATCTTGGGACTGATAAACACGGGTATATCTTTGGACACAATTATCTTGGAAGCTGGAAAATTGGTAGGAATATAATTTTACGATTGATTTAAAGCTACTAAAATTTTCAAAGCGATTCCTCAAGTCAAGTCTCGGTATTGTTATGATTGTCGAAAGATCTATGGTGTGATGTTTCTTATGATTTTCGTAAGATGAAGCAACTTTGACAAGAGATAACTCAGCTCAAAGTTGATTTAATTATTTCAAACTTGATCAGTTCACAGATGAATTATTTGAACTGTTGCACTTCAAATTTGGGCCCTTTTCAAAATAGTTAGAAATATCCGGAAGGTTGAGAAAAAATCCGGATTAAGGAAGAGTGAATTCCGCTCATATCTGCCCTGTTTTATATAATATTAAACGAAAAATGGAAAATGAATCTGCTCTTTGAATAAATCAGTGCCTTGCAAACAGTCTAGAAGCAGAATTATGAATTTCGGATCAGTAAAAATATCGGTACAATTTGAAAAAGTTCGTTTTGATTTCAATTACAGTACACCTAAAAACTATATCCGTAAAAGCGACATACCGAAGAAAAAATTAAAACATTTTTCATTTATTTGCGTGAACACTTTCTTTCGTTGACGTGAAATTATTGTGCACCGTATGTGGAAGCCACGGGATCTAGAAATGTCGGCTAAAAAAAGGGACTCGTTTGTCAAAACTCCGAGTCGCAGCTAATGATAATGATGGCGAATATGTTCTGAATTAATCTTGTCCTTTTTCTTTTTCTTTTTATAATAATAAATTTAGTTATTCATAAAGCAACTATTATTTTTTCAGCTAACCTAATAATTCCAATCAGTCCGAGTTTTCAACTTTAACATCAACTTTCTTCACAATTTCTTTTTGTGATCCCAAATCAACGACATGAACTGGGCATATAAGGTTTGTTGAGGGATTAAAATTTTTGAGCGAAGTTTCGATATTCACTTCGATATAATATCATATTTTTCTCTATTTTCAGATATGTCTCATTTTTATCGTCATCTCGTCATTGTCAGTAAAATTCAGCTCTTCTGATGATCGTTTCATGGAATCAGAGATTCATGAAGACATGACAAGGCAAGGTTGCTGGAAAGTGGGAGGAGTTAGTCTTAACGATCTACAATTTGATCCGAAAAGTTAGTGCAGCATTGTTGATAATATTCCAATTAGACCGTCTAATTGTTCAGATGCAATGGCGACCGCATTAAAAACAAACAAGAATGGAGATAAGATAACTGTTTTCAACTACGGAATGCAGTATTTCAATTCCGAACTGAAAAATCTATCTCTTAGCACAGGCGGTACACATCCTCTATACTTGCGAATTAAGGTAAAATTATTATTATTAAGACATTTTTGAATATTTTGTTAAGGAAGACGCATTATGGGACAATAAACCACAGGATAAAGTAAACTGCCAAAGAGTTCTGAATTACAAATGCCTGCAAGACATCACAATCAACAGCTTGGAATCTTTGGAAAACTTCAACTCAATGAAATGCACTGAACTGAAAAAGGATCTCATTATCGATGGATTTAGTTCGTTTACATTGTCTTGTTTCCACAATTGTTTTTCTTTTTCAGAGCATCTAGCCCAGAATAGAGGGAGCTTCAGTTTCAGTGGCTTCGAGAACATCCAAAAAATCCGAGGTCGATTGGTTATTCAAAACGTTGAGACAGACGCGTCGTTTAAGTTTGAAAAGCTCATTCAAGTTGGACAATTTGCCGATGAAAAGGGACTTCCGAGCATCCAAATCAGAGACAATGTAATGGGAAGAATCAGCATGGAGAGAGTGAATATTGTGAGTTCGATTTTTATTGCATTAAAATGTTTTTAAAGTTATGTATTTTCCTAATTATACGGGAAAATGAAACCGGCCTACTTTTGAATTTTTTCTCAATAATATTAAGCCAAACTTCTGAAACATTTCCTTGCGTTACAAACTTTGTCCGCGGATTAAAATTTTTTTCAACAGACAAAGTGCTACCCAGGAGCTCCAAAAACTTGTGTGAGCATTCAGGACAACTGGATCATCGAGAACAACGATAATCCATTGAAAATAAAATTCGAAAATTTCACAGCTCCTCCGAGATGGAACCCAGTAGAGGGAATTCATGCAGAACCAGGAACAGAAAGGTTTGAAGCTGAGGTGGAGAGATTGGAAGAACATCCAGAAGAAATCGAGGAAACGTACGACGATCCCGAACTCAATGACGAGGACGTTGATTTGAAATGCAGACTTTGTAAGTTTCAGAAAGAATGATTTTAAGAACTTTCAAATGCTTTCCAGGTTTTATCCCTTACACTATCTTGAATTACGTAGGAATACCTGCTCTACTTGGAATCATTTTTTGGATCATCAAATTTTTAATGAAGAAAGATATCAATTATGATTTGGCCACTGTATATGGTGCAGATGAAAAGGAAAATCAGGACAACTACTTCGCAGTGGATGGAAAGAAAGATAACAAGGAGAAGGATTCTGGAATGGATGATCTTGGATCAAATTGAATGAATGATTTTTCTTTTTCTGTTCAAATATGACTTATCTCTTGTTTAATAAATGTGATTTTTTAAATATCGAAATAAATGTTAAAAGGTGGACACCGTATACGGAAGGTGGCCACCGTATATAATACCGTACACCCCCTTTGACCTAAAAATTGGTTTTGTTTCCTACAGCAAGTAGAAATTATATTTGCAGAATTTGGCCCAAATGGAACCTGAAAATCTAAGATCAGCTTCTTTTTGACGAATTTTTTTCAACAAGAAGCTGAAATAGACAGATTAGTAGTGTGAATTCCAAGATTTTCATTATGAAGTGGGAAAAGAATGATGAATGGAGAGTAAGACAAGGATTAAGTTATTATTTTGGAAAAACGAAGTGGAGTACGCATTTCAATGATATTTACTGCCTACTCATAGTGAATTTAAAGACGAAAAGATGAAAGAAAAAAACGAATTCTTTTCAGGATTACGTCGTTGAAATTTCAGTTTTTGAATGTAGACAAAAAGACTCTGGAAAGATAAGGAAAAATATTTGGAGATTAGATTACCGTAGTCATAGTAAGGGGCGGGGTTGGGCGTGGGAATAAATAGGTATTTAAAACTTCTTTAAAGATTTCAAATTCAAAAATGCTACCCATTTCATACCCTACTCCCATAACATCTTCTCCAATGACTCTTCCAATTCCAACTGTTACTATTTCTCCCCCAACAAATTTCACACCATCATTGACTTCTCAAACATTGGCGAATGCTTGGAAACTGGGAATTGTTCAGCCCTCAGAACCCAAATTTCTACTGCCTGCGACACATGGGATCATCAAAATGGTACAGAAATTGTAAGTTTGAAATCGCATTCTTCTATTCTAGTTTCCAATTTTTCCATCTGCAAAAGCAAAGGAACAAAGCTAAAAATTGGATATATTAAAGAAGTTTTCGGTCAATGATCAGTTTTATCCTCATGAGAGAAAAAAGAAAAAGTTTGGAGAATGATTCACTGTTTCCTTCAAGATAATCCTTCGAGTAGTCAATTTTAAGTGATTGCATAGTAAATATTCGAGGTTACTTAATGAATTATAATATTATTTTCCGGCTAATTTCCAATAAAAAACTTTTAAGTCTACTTTCCACTGGGTTCCGATTGTCCGTCGGTTATTCTTCGGCTGCTAAATAGTAGTTTTCTCTGAAATTCTCAGATTCCGAACAACTACCTTCAGAATACGTCAAATTAAAAATTTCAAAAAGTAAATTTCTGGGATTGTTCCAGTCAAAATTTGATTAACAATTTGATAAAGGTCCCACAACGACAACTACCGTGACCTAAAAATATGTATATTTTCCGGATATATTATCTCGCTTTTCGTGCGTATTCAGTCATTTTTTCACTACCAAAATTCTTATTTTTCGCTTGTTTGTGGAAAAATAACAGGAAACTCGACGAAAATCGAGTAAGTAAATCCGGAAAATAAAAATATTCTTAGGTTTCGGCGACCTATGGTGTTTCTCTTCCACAGCTCCGGTTGTTTTTTACCAGCATAATATTAAGTGACTCATTTACAAAAACAGATGACATGTTGCAAAAAGCTTGAGATTAGGAAATATACTTTGAAATGTATCCAATCCACTTGAAAATCAAAATCTTGCTCTTTTAAAACTGTATTTTCTTGGTTAGACAAACGTTCAACTGATCCTGTGGTTTTGTGTTTCTGGAATTTCATTATTTCGGAAATCCCTAGTCCAAGGGAAAATTACCAGAATCTGAATATCGCTAAAACATGAAAATCTAGAAAAATTAAAATCTCAACCTCTTATCCTTCCCAACACCCCTTGTCTGCTATTTCCTCTCCTTCACCATCCCACTAATGTGCTTCAGAATTCCCTCGTCGATCCATAGGCGCTAAAGCATACTCCATTTTCATCTTCTTTCTCTAAACAGAACGTATTTAGAGTAGTGTGTCTTTTGTCTGTGTCTCTCCACTTAGATTCTCTTTAGGTCGGTTTTTGTTTAGGCAAAGACGGGCTAGCGTAACGGCCGAGGAGAGGGCCTTGTTTAGTATCTGCTAAAAAAAGAAGAAGAGAAAGAAATGAGGAAACGGGAAAGGACCTTAGCCTATCCCTCCTCTGTTCTATCGATTTTCTTAGTGTTTAGTCCTAAACCGTACTCTTTCTTTGTCAATATTCTTAACGTTCTATTTGTGAAAGTCAATTAATGGATTTTTTGTATTCTTCTTTATTTAAATGATAAGATTATTGAGATTCTAAACTCGTTTTTTGAATTCGAAACCTCAAAAATTTTAAATTTCCAGAAAACAATATCAGTAAAATTTATACGGATAACTTTTGTAACAGAAAAAATCACTAAATTTTTGTTATTTTAACACAATCTCTTTTTTTTGCGAAATTTTGCAAAAAAAGATTGTTTTATTTCTTCTGGAATTTCTGAAACTTCCGATATTTATATATTCAAAAATTATAGTTTTTGGAATTTTGGGAATTTTTTGGAATTTTGGAATTTTTAGAACTCTTATTTCAGTATTTTAGATCATTTGGAAATATCAGAATTTAGAATCTCAGGCATCTCAACAGAGCAGCTTCCAAATTTGTGTAATCAAATCTTTTTTTCCTCAAAATGGATCGTTCCATTAGAGATTTAAAAGAATAATACGATCCCGGCGACTGATGATTTAATCGCTATCATGTCTCGATTCGTTTTCCACATCTTTTTTCCCCTAATTTCACCGATCGGCTTCTTCTAGAACCAGAGAAGGAAATGTTCGTTTTTCCATCGACTTTTGAACCTTCCTGCAAGCTGAAACTATACACTCTTCTTTAAATTACCATGTCACAAATCTCCAGACGTTTATCTAAAAACAACCTATTAATTTTTCGTTTTTTTTTGTCTAAAGATAAAAGAACATTTCTCCAGTTTCTCTCCTAATTATAAGCATACTTTGATTTGTGTCTGTAGAGAAACTGAAAAAGTGATCATAGACATTCCTCTTTAGAGGAAAGATAAAACGAAAAAGAAGAAGAAGAAGACTAGGTGGCAACGAAAGCTTATCTAATGTTGCTATCGCTTCTGAAGAATTTGGAAGACGAGCGAAGAAGAAGAAGGTCATCCGTGTTTTGAACTGTTCTTCTCCGATTTATTTTTCCTTATAAATTGTTGGGAAATCTAATACCATCATTCGCATTATTGACTTTTCAAAGCCTTGTATTAACTGGTGCAATTTTTCTGATTTCGAGAATTCGTTATATCCTTCTAGTTATAACGTAAAACCTGTAATAGAAGGGCTCCTAACTTTCAAACCAATTTATCTCGTTTTCTGTCAAAGATATAAAAAAGTTGTCAACTGATAAACTGTTTTTCATAATTCCACAAAAATTTTATCAGTTAACATATTTTTGATATGTCTTATAATAGCCGAGTTAATTGAGCTCAAACTTAACAGTTTGAGTGCCCTTCTATTACTGGTGTTACGGTAGTTCGCAACAAATAACAAGTAGTTGCATAGTTCAATTTTTGTGCAGAAAGTGTTAAACTCTCAAAAAATGTCCCATTATTCTATTTCTCTCGAGTTTCTGGCTTATGACCAAGCCAAAAAAACTAGATTTTCTGACTTAAGAGCCGATGCTATATATTCTCGGAATGTATCTATGTTATCGGTTTGTGGTTCTTCTCTCACACAAAAAGACTAGTGTTCACGCCTTCTTTCTGACTCTAGTTCATCGATTTCGAGCCCCAGCTGGATCTGGAACTGATTAATAACTGATATGAGATCTTGTTTCTTGTACTCTCCATTTTCTTCAGAAGTCTTCTCCCCTGACTCCCCCAACTTATTTGGAGCAATTCGCCTAAAACCAAATCTCCCCTTAACTAAGATACAAGCCGCTTAAGTAAGGCTTACTGAACAGAAAGGAGGGAAGGAAGCCCGAATAAGGAAATATTCTTGTCTTATTTTTCAAGTTCCTACTTTTGTTTTTACAATTCTTATGAGTAGAATTATTATCATAGTTGGTTCTTTAATAACTGAAAAACTTGGAAGAAGTTTTCGGGTTACTGTAGGTGCCACATTTTTCTTCTTTTTTCGAGGATGGGCGGAGCTTAGGTCCGGTAGCGGAATACTTAAAGGAGCATGTACTTTTAGTAATTATTTTCTGGCCTTGTAAGCTCCGCCCACCTTCGAATTTTAACGCGCGCTGAAATTAGATACCAAAACAACCGGATAATTTTAAAAAGTTAATTTTTTTAGGTAATTTAGCTTCAAAATCAGGTCTTGTCTATAATTTATCCCTTTCCAAGCGTTGAGCGCCATCCCGAATCTCTGATCTCCAAACTCCGCCCATTTCCTCTAACACTTTCTTAAGCGCTATCATATTAAACTCATTTTTATGAGTGTGTAATTCTTCAAATCCTTCATGTTAAATTCCATTGAATTCCATTATTAAATCTTCTCTAAAAACAACCCATTTCTCTCGTTTTTCAATTCATTCTGAGCGTAAAAAAATAGTAAATAAAGATTAAGAGAGCAGTGAAAAAAGAAGAAGAAGGGTGATCATGAATGGATTGTTAAAAGTGGGGAGATGAAATGATAATCAGCTGATGATCACAATGAAGATAAAGAAGAAAGAGAAGAAGGCACATATACTCTTTCTCGTAAACCTTCACTCAATTGAGATGGGTTGGTTGTTGGAAGAAAAGAAACAAGAAGGGGTGATATAGTTTAACATTTCGAATCAGTGAAGAGTCACCCTCGTCCTTCTTCTTCTTCTTGCCCTGCTCATCAATTCCAAAGTGCACTAGGTGGAGGAGCACGCGGGAGCCTACTACCACCCACACCTTTAATCGCGGGAAGAAAAAGAGAAACACTTTTCTCTTTCGTTTCGTTATATATCTTCTTGTTAGTGTTGCCTACGGGACTGCTTTGTCCACGAGACAGAGAATTTTATCTTTTCTGGTAGGTTGCTAGATTTTTAGGATTCCTTAAAATTGGCAAATCGCCTAG